GTCATTCGACACACCGTATAGAGGGCAGTGACATCGAAGGACTCCACCACGTACGCGCTGTTGGGTCGCGCGTTACGTAGACGATCCAGGAACATTTGGGTGTTCGTTAGATGAGCTGGAATGTACTTCAACAACTGAGTAAGTATTAGGGTTATTATTAGTATTAGGGAACCACGTTATTCTATCTGTTGGCCCGTCCACGCAGCTAACGATAGGTCTAACCTTAAATAACTATGGATCGATAGACACGAGATCATCGCTGGATACTAACTTATGGGTTTTGATAAGTAAGTACAGGACGAGACATGTTGGTAAGTAGATTTTGAGATAAGAAATAACTGATGGTTTTAACCCGGCCGCTCTTGCCACTTTAGCCCATTCGTTGTTTAACTTTCGGTATTGACTTTTAAATTCCTTCTCAGACGACGGACGATAAAGTGAAGCATCTTCAAGGTGCTCTTCCGTTATCTCAACATCTAACTGATGGGGAATTACAACGAACTTTCCACCCTTATCACTGACCGATAGTCTTATGTTTTTTGATCTTATCAGCTCTCGTACCTCTCGCATACCACGTTTTTGTATTTCAGTGAGGTTGGAGCAGTATTTTTTAGCGCGATAGTGATTAAGGACTTTGAAAGTTTCATTCGTAAACATCCGAAATTTAACATCAACTTTATTAATGGGCCCTTGTTGTCTAAAGAACGGTTGGAGAAATGGTGGTACTGGTATCGCCCCTACTTTTTGTTGTTCGCGTCTATTTTGCGCTTCATCCCTAGCTTTTTTGCGGAGTCTATCTTGAAGTTCATGTCATTAATTTAACAATAAACATTTGTTAAACTTTGGATGTCTACGAATGAAACTTTCAAAGTCCTTAATCACTATCGCTCTAAAAGATACTGCTCCAACCTCACTGAAATACAAAAACGTGGTATGCGAGAGGTACGAGAGCTGATAATATCAAAAAACATAAGACTATCGGTTAGTGATAAGGGTGGAGAGTTCGTTGTAATTCCCCATTAGTTAGATGTTGAGATCACGGAAAAGCACCATGAAGATGCTTCAGATATGGCTTAGACGGCGTGTGTCCAAATTACAAATCTAACGACAGCAGGGTTTTATTGTACCTATCTATTACCTCCAAAAAAAGTGAGCAATTGGGTAGCACTTGCTGGAATACCACCGAACACCCCGAAATGCCATCTAGTTCGAAATCGAGTGTATGACGGGCTGCGGGTAATGCAACACTGCGTACTTTGCCCTAATGGTAGGGATGGCGATCGCGTGCTGTTGGGTACGCTGCAGCTGATTTCAGTTCAAAAAGATGTCAACCTGTCAGTAGGTGTGGTAAGAGTTGGAAATGTGTTTTTTCAAGGATGCAGTTTACCCACTGATAAATGTTCCATTTGAGGACGCATAGCCTTCTGTCTAGTACAAACACATCTACAAATAACTCGAAAGACCGACTTTCTATGAACCTCGGCATAAATAGTTGATATATTTATTTATGAGATCTTATAAACTGATCTTCTTAAGCTGACGCGAGGTTGGTACAGATCTTCGTTGTCGTTGTTTTTGATGTTATTGATCGATGGCTGACGTTTCGGCGACTTCGCCTTCCTCAGAGCCGTAATATTACGTGCGGGTCGAAGGCCAAGTCGCCGAAACGTCAGCCATCGATCAATAACATCAAAAACAACGACAACGAAGATCTGTACCAACCTCGCGTCAGCTTAAGAAGATCAGTTTATAAGATCTCATAAATAAATATATCANTGATATATTTATTTATGAGATCTTATAAACTGATCTTCTTAAGCTGACGCGAGGTTGGTACAGATCTTCGTTGTCGTTGTTTTTGATGTTATTGATCGATGGCTGACGTTTCGGCGACTTGGCCTTCGACCCGCACGTAATATTACGGCTCTGAGGAAGGCGAAGTCGCCGAAACGTCAGCCATCGATCAATAACATCAAAAACAACGACAACGAAGATCTGTACCAACCTCGCGTCAGCTTAAGAAGATCAGTTTATAAGATCTCATAAATAAATATAACATCTACAAATGTTTCACCGGTGATACGTTATCTTTTTGCAAAAATGAAGTACTTCTAAGCTCCAACTGTCTCTATTTAATAATCACCAAATATGCTGGTAAACACCTTTTAAATTCGAGCTGACAAGATAACTCGCTCGAAAGGGCTCTTCAACTATGGAGTGACCACAAAAGGCCTTGCAAAAGAGCTTTGTCAAGCGAAATAGGCTAAAAAGAGGGAAAGCACTGAAGTAAACATTTACGTTCCGAAATCTTCAGCGCAGTACACATTGAATTCAGTCGCATGGTAAAGTGGCATTCGGTAAAGTTAGTGAAATCGAATATGTGGCGCGTTCATCGGTAGTTAGTAAACGACGGAAGCTCTCCTTTTTAAAATTTGCCAAGTATTTATGCTAAACCTTTATCCTCCCACTTCTTACCATACTCGACAGATGTTAATAAGTGTTAGTAGGTCGATCTGTCGATCGAGAGCAAACGTTTAAAACAGACTAACCAGCGCAGACTTCTAGAACGCCACATAGTTTCCACTTCCCGTGTTCACTTCTTTCAAACGTTTGAATTGTAATTTTCTAAAAAAGCCTAACTAAAATCTATTCATTAAAGTGCTAACAACTCCACATTATTTTTTCTAATTTACTGATAACGGCACCTTCGTGTAATTAACTGCTCTTCTTCCACGGCGAACAATGTTTGCTTGGATGTGGCTAAAACGGGAATTCCAACTTAACTGTTATGTGATTCCACCGCCTTTCACATGAGAAAAAAGCTGCGAAAATTTTTATCGAATTTGTGGCATTTTCACCTTCTTGAAAACTGCAGCGTTTCATTCGACTTTCCACGGCCATCCATTCTTCCGACGTCGGTTTTCGTGGCCGCGTTGAGCACCGACCGCAGTCGAATTGTGTGAAGTGCCGGATGAATTAGGAACCTCACTCGGTAATGCGCTTTTTATACACGTGGGTTGTTGACCTGTTGTTTTGTCGGCTGATCACGTTTGATATTGATATGGCTACATGTAGGCATCCTGTAGTAGTTGTTATCATGTCACCTCGTGTCTAGCAACCGAGTGCTTTCCAAAACAGACACGTTTTACCTTGGCATAAATGACCATTGCTTTACTCGACTATTGAATACTAAAGTATTGCGAAAGCTTTCGCTTTTTGAGCACTTCAGTGTTTTAGTCTTTATTTGAACACCTTATTGATGCTTCATTCAAAACGAATACTAGCTTTTGATAAAGAAATCTCTTAGAACGTTGTTCAGCGCTTAGCATCTTTCGATAAATGGGAGAGCCAGTTGCTGAAGCAAATGTTGGGACCTCTTCTCTTCTGAAGTTTCTTTTCTAAATTTTTTGGCGCTGTTCTTATTATTCCATTCTATGTCCGCACTTTCTTCTTCTCTAAGATGGGAATGTACAAAAAATATGAAAATAAATTACCACTTTTGCGTGTCTTACTCACGAAGCTTCCTTTCTGAGGGATTCACAGCCAACTGCTCGCGAGACTCCGTGGAGCATCGCGAGAAACATGAGAGATTCTGCTTACCTGAGACGAAAATGGGTCCACGGAATGCATATTCTGCTTCTGCTAAGCCAATTTGGGAAACGTCTTCTGTGTACAAGACGACATATTTATTTATGCGTGCGTGAGTGTGGTCTCGTTCTGTAGATTATATTCTACAAATGAATTCGGCCGAAAACTTGCAATCAAACGATCTGGGAATATCAGGAGTGGCAGGAAACACCAACAAATAGGTGCCTCGTCTACTCTGGAAAAGATTGGCAAGCCACCCATTGGTAAATGATGACCACGCGTTTTGTGGTCAGCAATCTATACTTGGGTATCAAACGCTAAGCGCAGTAAAATAAGTGGACTTCATTTTTTTATAAACTCATTTCTTATTTCCACAGCTTCTTCAGTTTGGTGGGCTGCGAATTTTTGTTTTTGCCTGGCTATATATACTAATTCCATGGCTAATCGAAAGCGAATCGAAATAGCAGAAGTGGAAGCAGACAATCCACTCTTCAGCACTTAATAATTTACAAGAAATACCACGTAGGAAAAGTTTATTTTGCTTGGACATACTTTGAAATACGACACTTTGAAAAGTACGCTCCATATAAGTAAATAAGCCATCAACAAAACTTTACACTTGTTGTGAAATATAAGAGCAATTATGCTGAGATAATGTTGAGGACATCGTGGTTTATACCATAACTTCAGCTTAACTTTGTTAATCCCGATTTGTGCTCCCGAGAACAATCCCGTTTACAGGTGATTGTTGATAGCGCCTGTAAATCAATAAGACGGCTGAGAGACATGCGAAACGAAGGACGCGCATGGTGTGGTGGTGAACGCGTAAGCCCCCGGAAAGGGTAATAGCGCGTTTGCTCCTCACCGCTGATACCTGCGGTCTAGAGCTTTGCAAATATCTCAGGATATAACCACAACGTCTCTGGGATTTTTGCAAAACTCCGGACCAGTGGTGTCTACGGTTCAGACCGAACACGCTATTAAGTTTTTCGGAGGTTAAAGTGTTCACTATTACACCACCGAGTTATTCGTCAAAGAGTCATGGTTATATACCAACCGTCTACGACAGCATACACAACGCCTGCATGCCTTTGAATTATAACTGGGTTCTACAAGTTAAAAAACTCCTTAGCGAAAACGGAACTGTTCTCGCTATTTCGTAAGATCGCATAGAAAAAAGCATTCTGGTTTATGACGAATTGGCAGCTGTTCAATAAGAACATAAGGATATTGCCATCTAGAACATGCCACAATACCTTCTGCTTAGAATTCCTTGATCTTCTTCACGCGCTCCGTTCAGTTAGTGATGAATGAAAGCCACCATCTATCTCAAAAACATTTCGCTGGCTACTGTCTACTTCAATGTTGATTAACCCAATAGATGGTACTTGTTCTCCGACTTTTCACGTAAAACTTACTTCTTATGCTTCGAAAAATAATATGTTTTCAAAGAATTTGATTATGATATCATGCCACTTGAAGGTTACACCAACCGTGGGTTTTGACGGGAGTACATAGTAGCTCGTTCTTGTGATGCGGAAGATGTTGTGCGTTGCAAAGGTATGTCGTCCGTAAAGAAGACGGCATTCTTGACGCGGTGCTCATTATGCATCGAGATGACCTTCCTAAGAGAAGTAAGAAATTCATCTGTTGGAAGCTTTTGTCTGCAAAATTAGTAAAATATTGGCCGACAGTTTATCGTGCAGTAGATGGAGGTGTTCTTTGGCCGCAATCTTAGCGCTGTCTTCATGTGCTTCCTCGCTTCTCCTTTACAGTAGCTAAAAATGAGTGCATGCAATATTGCAGGCTCCACCCTTTGCATTCGATCCAGCACTTGATGTCAAGTACTTCGGACATGCCATGCCACGCTGTCAGAGGTTTTGATAAGTAAGGAGTGTACGTGAAATCGCGCCGAGATCCTTGCATCTGGTGTCTGTTCTCGTCTTCAGTGAAATATGAAATGAATCAAAATTCTATGCCTT